ACACTCGGCCAAGTGCCGAAGACAATCACAGCCGTGACGAGATACAAGTATAACATCATGAGCTCGAGTGTGACTTTTATACAACAGTTCAACAGTTACATAAGCAAGGCTGATTAAGAAATGTTGAAAAATGAGGACAAAATAGATAATTTAAGCATTTTATTTGTCTTCTGCCAACAAAAATAGTTCCCTCAGGACTCCGCTGTCACCGTTGCTATGTAACGCAGACATGGTGCGCCAGGCACTTACTCTTTATACACATTTATCTGCACATTTCCATTAATTGTGCAGCCGGTGAAATAAGTCTCTGGTGACTGCATGGTGGAGTGTCGCTTCACAGGCACAGCCGACACTGCCTTCTGATCTGACAGTATGCTGCTCCATCGTTTTCTGCTCTCCATGGATGGCTTGTAGTAGCTTTTTAACAAGCTCTCAGATGTGCAAGACAAAAGGTATATTTTAGGGCCTGACTCCTAATTAGAAGACTAACTTTACACATAGGTTATGTTAAAACAACATCATACCTGTGCCCACTCACTGTCATGATGTCCCTAGCTTCAAGACCCACATCTGACAGCTTCTGTATGGCAGTCGCCCTGAGGCTGTGATTGGTGTAGATAGTTGTTGTCCTCGCCTCTTTGCACATCTTTGGCAGCATCTGTGCGAGTGAGTTTATTCCCAGTGGAGATTTAGTGTACCAGATATTGTCTGTGTGAGCTGCTGTCATCCTGGGCTTCAGATAAAGGGCATTTGCATCTGGTGGAAGTTTGTTTAAATACTTTTCCAGGGATGCAACGCAACTGCTGACCTAACTGACACTAACCATCAGTTTTGATTTGATGGTTGATTGCAATCAGCTGTGAGGCTGAGTGATACATACACAGTGAAATAACCATGATGTTGTACTCCAATATCGCAATATCGTCACGGTTTTACTGTCTCTCGACCAATCAGATTGCAGGGCCGGAACTAACTGTTGTGTGTGTGTGTGTGTGTGTGTACATATATACA